GGAACGGCTGGGCCCGTGAGCCATGGCCGCTGAGCCTGTGCGTCCAGAGCCTGTGCTCCGCAACGGGAAAGGCCACAACAGTGAGAGGCCTGCGTACCGCAAAAAAAAAAAAAAAAAAAAAGGGTATTGAATGTTGTCAGAGGCTTTATCAGCATCTATGGAGATAATCATATGCTTTTTCTTTATAAATCTATTAATATGATGTATGACATTAATGGATTTCCTAATTGAACCAACTTTGCATTCTAGGATAAATTCCACTTGGTCAGCATGTATTACGTTCTTAATTTGATGTTGTATTTTGTTTGCTAATATTTTATTTGCTATTTTTGTATGATAAGTGATATCAATCTCTATTTTTCTTCTGACCAAAGCTTTAAATATATCTGATGAATCTTGGTATGTAATGTTGTTTTGCCATTTTAAAAAATTTGTGGTTTAAGTATTTCCCCTTTTACCTAGAAATCATTTAATAAATTTTAAAAAATTTTTAGTTGGAAAGATCTTTTTGGTTTTTATTTTGTTAATTTTTTGGTTTAATTGCACTGTGATCATAGAATATTGTTTATAACGTTAATATTTCTTCTTTGCGGAACTTACTGATATTTCAATTGTGACGCAGTATTTGATCACAGAGAATGCATTCATGTGCCCTTGAGGAGAAGGTATAGTGTCTGTTGTCAGAGTGTGGAGTTCCCTACAGTTCCATACTGTTTACCTTGTTGAGTCTCTGTCTCCTTACTTATTTTGTCACTTGGTCTGACTTGTACTGACGGTAGTATATTACATTCTCCAATTACTAGTGAGTTTTTTTCTGTGCCTCTTTGCATCTCCTGTAGTTTGTGCTTTATAAAGGTGTTGTTTCTGTTACTTAGTACATAGATGTTCATACATTCATTGTGAACCGCAGCTTAGTATTAGAAAGTGTCTGGCTTTGTCAAATCTGATACTTTTTGGCTAGAATTAAACTTTTTTTTAAATTAATTAATTAATTTATTTTTGGCTATGTTGGGTCTTTGTTGCTGCACGTGGGCTTTCTCCAGTTGCGGCGAGTGGGGGCTACTCTTTGTTGCAGCGCGCGGGCTTCTCATTGCGGTGGCTTCTCTTGTTGCGGAGCACAGGCTGTAGGCGGGCGGGCTTCAGTAGTTGTGGTGCACGAGCTTAGTTGCTCCGTGGCATGTGAGATCTTCCCAGACCAGGGCTCGAACCTGTGTCCCCTCTATTGGCACATGGATTCTTAACCACTGCACCACCAGGGAAGTCCCTAGAATTAAACTTTGATGTCAGTGTTTCAACTCCTATTTTCTTACTGTTTCCGTTTGCCTGACATACCTTTGTCTATCTTTAATTTCAGCCTTTTGGAATCACTTTAACTTGTTTCTCTTATTGACACATATTCTGAGTATGAGTCCTTTATCAGATATATGTTGCAACTATTTTATCCTTGTTTCTAGCCTCATTTTTTACTTCCTTAATGTCTTTCGAAGAAAATCATGATTTTGAACTTCTTCTGTGTAACACTGGAGTTTATTCATTTTCAGTTCTGTGGAGTATTCTGTCATATGAATGTGCCAGAAGCATCCCATTCTGCAGTTGATGGTTATTTGGGTTGTTTCTGGGTTTTATTATTATGCACAATACTGCTATGAACACTCTTGTACAAGTCCTTGTGTGCAAGTTTCTTTAGGGTGTTTAAGCGTGGGGTTGCTGGGTCATAGGGCGTGCCAGGTGGTCCCTGATCATTTTCCACGGTGATTGGTTCCACATAGGCCCCTCCAATGTGGTACACGGCTCCAGTTGCCCCACATCTTGGTCAACATTTGCCAGGCTGTTTAATTTTTGGCTAATCTGCTAGGAGTGAAGTTATTTCACGCTAGGGTTGAACAGGCATTTCCAAGATTATTAATTAGGTTAAACATCTCTTCCTATGTTTGTTGGGTATTTATGTTTCTTGTGAAACATCTATTCAAGTCTTTTGCTCATTTAACGTTTGGTGTTTGCTTCTTTATGTTATTGACCTGTGTCTTTATCTATTCTGGATACAAGTCCCGTGTGGGTTTGTGGCAAGTGTGGAGTAGTGAGTACTTGTGTTCACCGATGGCGGGCATTTTGCCACATTTGCTTTACTTCTCTGCCTGTGTACTTGTATGTAGCTAGACACAGGTCGAGGGTTTTTTTTCTGAAACGTTTGAAAACAGATTGCAGACATAACATTTCATCCCTAAAATACTGTATCCTAGGAATAAGGATACTCTTCTACATAAAATACCATTGTTTTCTCCAAGAAACTTAGCAATATTAATTCTATATTATCTGCAGCCTGTATTCAGATTCCCCCAGTTGTGGCCCCTGTTTCTGATCAGGATCTAATCAAGGTTCACACGTTGCATTTGGTCGACATGCTCTTTAGTCTCTGAATTTAGAAGAGTCACCCTGCTGTTTCTCTCCCTGTTTCTCTTGACCTTGACCTTTGCCATGAGTCTGAGCTGGGTGTCCTGTCTGGGCCCCTGGTGGGTATGTCTGGAGGTTCCCGAACGTTGCTGGCATAGGTGGACGGCGACGGGCCCTCGGGAGATGAGTGATGCAGGCTGTTTACTGCGGGTGGCCCGCTTCAAGGACAGTGCCAGTGGTGACAGCCCGGTGTCCCCTCATGAAGGAGCATTTCCTCTGTGATTCATAAACGACCTGTAGGCACAGCAGATCTCCTGCTCCCAATAGCTTTTCCCCAGTCGGGTCATTTTCCGGATCTGAGAGGTGATGCTCTCTGCTTGTACATTCAGTTCCATCTTTTTATTTCTTTAAAGCCGTGAAGCGTTATATTTCACAGACCTGAACGCTCTGCTCGGGTCCAGGTCTGCGCCTGCGGTTCCTGGTGCTCCTGGTCCTCGCAGGGCTGGGCCTCCTTGTCTGCTTTTACGAGTGTTGGCTGGGAGCCGGCATTTCTTAGGGTTTTTCCTGTGAATTCACTGAGGCCTGGGTTGAAGGGGTCCTTCTGAGAGATGCACGGCCTGCAGTTGGGGGGCCCCAAGGTGGTGTGATTTGGAGCTGAGAGCTGAGGGCGGTGACGTTCTAGAATCTCCGAGCACAGCTTTGGTTCTGGTTCAGCCTAACACTTGAGCCCATGGCCCCGGGGACCTCTTCTGTAGGGGATACTCCTTCGAGATTACCCACCTCCAGAGGGCTCAAACTTTGTCCCTCATGGACCTGGGACTCCAGGTCCCTAGGGCAGCAGGTGCCCTAGGGCAGGGCCAGCTGCAGGCTCTGTGGCCCTGCCCACGCTGCACTGTGCTCCCACACCAGGGTAGTGGGGAGGCCGGGTCCCCCCTCCACAGGAGTAACCCTGCGGCTGTCCTCCGTCTGTGGGCCGGGCCTGGGGGGCTCTGGGGGCATTTGTAGCAATGGTGGAAAGGCTGTCAGACTGTCTCTCTTTTTAATTTTTAAAGGAATGTGTCTTGCAGAACCCAAAGTTGTGCTCCATGGATTAAGTTTCAGGCTCCTTTGCCCTCTGGGTGGGGGGAGAATGACAGGCCAGTGGAGGTGGGGGCAAGGCCAGCGGGGGGCAAGGCCGGTGTGCGGCCATCGTGCTCACCGCTCTGGGCGGCCTGGTGCCAGGAGATAGGATAATACGATTATTCTCAATTAGATTAATAAAGAATAATTAGACGTCATAAATCAAGTCATCATAGAGTATTGTCATGGGAAAAATATGTAGCTAGAATTAATTAGTTTTCAAATAAAGTGTTTACTTTAATTGCTTGAAATGATGGAGCCCTTAATTGCCGAGGCTTCGTCTTGGCCTGAGCGTCCGGCTGTTGTAACAACTTGACGGGTTTATTCCCTACGTCCGGGGAAAACAGTGGAGGAGGACTTGATTTCATCACCTGGGAGCTAGCCTGGTGCGGTGAGGTTGTGGAAACGCCCGTCAGGCCACAGGCAGGTGGCAGGTGTGGGCTGGGTTTCTGCTGGCGCTGCCCAGGCCCACCGTGCTGCCTGTGTGTGTGTGTGTGTGTGTGTGTGTGCGCGTGAGCACCTGTGTGAGCACGTGTGTGTGTGTGTGTGTGTTGGGGGGCTGCACGGTGGGAGCCTGTGCAGGGGTGGCCTGTTCCTCTGTCCCCGGAGCCCCTTCCCGAAGGCCCACTCCGGCCCTTTCACTTCCCCCCTCTGGCAACTGTGTGGGCGCCTTCCCCTTGCTGTGTGCAGGCTGGGTGGGGGCTGTCCCAGAGCCCAGCAGGAGAGGCCCCCCCCAGCTGCCGCAGCTCCCGGGGGGTCCGCTCCTAGCCGTCCCCTCTACACCCTCGGCCCGGCCCAGGGCCTGCGGGCAGACATACGTAGCCCTGGCTGCTTGTGAAATTGGGGTGGCGTGGTTGGGGTGGGCTCGGGGGGGCCCTGGCAGCTTCTCCTTTGGGGTGGGTGGGCCCAGCAGGCCTTACACACAGGACCAGTGATTTGAGGAAGGGTCTGTCCTCTGAGAGCAGCCCTCCAGGGGAGTGGCTGGGTAACTGGGCCCCGCCCCTTGCCCACACACACACCTGTGCCGGCCCTTCTGCCCCTTGGTGGCAGCGTGCAGGCTCTGGAACACTTCGAACCTGAGCCTGGGAGGCCTAGAGCAGCTCACCGGACGGTTCCTTGGGTGGCTGTAACAGTTGGAGGTTGTGATGAGCAGGACCGGGACCCGGCGGGCCGTGTTTGCAGCCCATGTGACAAAGACCGTGGACCCCATACACCTCTGACTTGGCTGGGAGGGCTCGTTGGGGAGGGCCCCCTGAGGGAGAAGCTGGAGCGAGGCCTGGGCAGAGGGCAGGACGAGTGCTCCCAGTGTGTGGACAGCTGGGACGAGGAGGACCCTGCCCAAGTTGGTGGGGGGTGTGGGCACTGCTGCCCTTGCCTGGGGACAGTACCTGTTGGGACAGAGGGTGCCGGGGTGGGCAGCATCCAGGGATGCTCCGGTGCCTTCCCGAAGGAGGACAGGTGAGTCATTCACACCCTTCCTCGGTCCCCAGGTGACAAGCATGGCAGCCCCACCGCTCCCACCACCAGACCCCCAGTTTGTCCTCCGAGGCGCCCAGTCGGCGGTGCACACACTGCATTTCTGCGAAGGAGCCCAGGGGCAGGGGCGCCCGCTGCTCCTCTCAGGGTGAGTACCCCCGGCCCAGGGTGAAGTCGGGGGGTAAGGGGCTCAGGCTGCCCATCACCCGGGCACTCGCCCTTTCAGAGCCCTCGACGCGCTGTCCCCTCGGGCCTCCCCCGTGGAGGACGCAGGGACATGGTCTCCGTTAGAGGCGCCAGGCAGCTGGCACTGTCAGTGGCGGCCTCCCCACCTCTCCAGAGAAGAGGCTCCAGGGCCCTGCCACCCTCCCTGTAAGAGGAGCACGTGTCCCCTGGTTATGTGTTCAGAGCTGTCCCCTGAGCTGGGAGCTGCTGGCTGGAGCACCTGACCCACCGGCTGCGTGGTGTCCAGCCCGCTCCCCCCCATGCCCGAGCCTGACTGGAGCTTCTCTGAACAGGTCCCTTCGTGGGCTGGTGCACATCTGGAGCCTGCAGACACGGAGGGTGGTCGCCACCCTGGATGGCCATGGGGGCCAGTGTGTGACCTGGCTGCAGACACTGCCCCAGGGGCCCCAGCTCCTCAGGTGAGTCTTGGTGGCAGTGAGCCAGGTTGTGGCCTTCGGGGGGGTTCCGTGAGCTTTCCAGGGGAGGCCCTGAAGGCCTCCCCCAGCTGCCAGAACGGCCCCAACAATGGCAGAACCGGGTGACTTGTCGAGGGCAGCGCAGCCCGGGTGTGTGGGCCTTCCGGGCGGGTGCCCATTGAGAAGAGCCCGATGGACGCTTAGGACGGCTCTGTCCGAGCCCACCCTGGCCTGCTGGGGCCCCCAGGGCGAGGGCTGGGGGCCAGTACTTGGAGGAGCCTCCACTTCCCTCCTGCAAGTCGCGGGCCCTGGTGTCCTCATAGCCGCTCTGCAGCGCAGCCTTCTCCCTGGACATGGAGCCACCTTCCTGCGAGGCAGGAAGGACTGGTCACCAGGGTGGCACAGAGCTGAACCTAAAGCTCACCCAGGCTGATGGGGCCCCACTCCCTGCCCAGTGCGGCTGCCCCGGGGGGGACTGGGAGGCCGTGCAGGTGCCAGGGTCGTGGAACTCTGGGCTGCCAGCGTGGGTGGGTGGGAGATGGCAGAGCGAGGGGTCTGGCCCCCTGGCAGAGGAGATTGCATGTGTTGACACCATGGTGGGCCGGGACTGGGGAGTCTGGGGGCTGGGTAGCAGTGAGGGAGGGTCCTGTGGAGGTGACGGGCTGGGACCCCAGGTGGGAGGTGGGCCAGGAGGCAGCAAGAGGGCGCTGGTGGGTGAGGGAGTAAGTCAGGGGGCTTCCCTCCTTCCCCTGGAGAGGGGGATGGTGAGGGAAGGGCACGGACAGGAGGGAGCGGGGGCCACCTGGCAGCCAGAGCGACTGCTATCTGGGGCGGCCCTGACATCTGCCCCTGTACAGGGGTCCCAGCTCTCCCACCCCCGTCAGAAATCTGCCAAGTCAAAGAGGGCTTTCCCCGGCGCCCTCTGCCCCAGAACTCCCAGATGGTCCTGCTCTCCTGCTCCAGACTTGGAGCTTGGACACCTGGGCACCGTGGAGCCCAGTCCCCATTAAACAAGGCCTCTTGGGCTCCCAGTGGCTTCAAAGCACTTTTGTGTGGGACTGAAACCGCTCCCACTCCCTGCAGGTGGCTGAAGCCCCAGGAGTCCTGGAGGCCATACCCTGGGCGTGTGTGCTTGTCCATCCATCTCAGCGCCTCGCTCCTTCCCTGCCCAGTTGCCCAGACGCACCCCTCACTGCAGGGCCCTCACGTGGCTTTGCTCTTTCCCTGATGATTAGAGTGGATGCTGTGTCTGAAGACCCCACAATGCTGCTGGAAACTTCCTCCTGAGGTTTGAGCCGAGGTGTAAGCCCTTCTGGACCTCATGCTCCTCTGCGCACCTTGGGCTGGCCTTGGGGAGCCTCAGGCCGGGAGTTCCACCCCTTGGAGAGCTGGCTGGTGCTGTGCGGGGTGGCAACTCCAGGGGCACCCTGCTCATGTGCATGATGGATGGCGCTGTGGGGGCCCCCCGCCTAGGCAGGCGCAGACCACGCAGGTGCTTGGATGCTGCATAGAGGCCGGGGCCCAGCTGTGTTTGGAAGTCAAGCCTCCAAAGTGGCCCTTGAGGGGGAAGGTGCCCTTTCATGTCAAGGGGCCGGAGGACAAAGCTGGGAGCCAGGGCTCTGCAGACACCCCAGCCACACCTGTACCCCTGAGGATGCACCTGTGCCTCTACAGCTGCCTGGGTGGGCTTGTTTCCTTCTTCCTTTATTGGGAGGCGTGATGTACTTACAGGAAGGTGCATAAGACGAGTTTCAGACCATCTTGTCATGGGTGGACACCTAGGCAGCCACTGCCCGCCCCACGCCCGCCCAGCGGCCTGTCCTCATCCTCAGGAGGCAGCCCCTCCACCTCATTCTTGCTTTACCGTCTGAATATGCATCTCCAAAAAGCATAGACTCATTTTATGTTTTTTTTCTTTTAACCTAAATGGAGCGACATGGAGCAGCTTCCTTTGTGTCTGATTCTGTGTTTGCGAGACCCGCCAGGGTGTGCACGGCTGCAGTGTGTTGTGTGGGACTTTCTGTCTTATTCCTCTGGACGTGTGTACCCAGATTCCTCACCTTTCTGTGTCGGTGGAGATCTGGGTTGTCCACTTGGAGCTGTTGTGGATGAGGCTTGAGAAGACTCCCACCGGGCCTCCCGGTGCTGGGGGCCCCCGGATCCAGCAGTGGGGCTGCTCAGAGGCCACCAATGTCCTTGAAGGGGCTCCCACTGGCCAGTCTGGGATGGTTAGGGCACAAAAATCAATGAGAACTCTGGGTGATGACCCATCAGTAACATAGGAATGTGTGAGTCCAGACTGATGGGAGGAGGGGAGATAAGAGGTGAGAGCCCGCTGTCTGGTGGGTGTGCCTTGTGGACGTGGAAGATGACCGTCTGCAGGGCTGACAGGCAGCACCACTGTGGGTGGAGGCGCTGGGTCATCTGAGGCCAGGGTGGCGGATGTCACAGTGTCTTTCCCAGAAGTGCCCACGGCAGGGGGAGGGGCTTTGAGTGAACACACCTGGCGGGCGCCTCTGTCCAGGTGATCAGGGTGGGCAGTCAGCCTTATGTGCAGTGTCATCCCCTTGCTGTCCTCCCCAAACGTGGAAATGTCACCCTGGGGATGACACGCACACACACAAGGGACAGGGAAAGGCGTGGCCCGTCCAGTCCAAGGGCCTGGTGAGCGCTGACCAGCCCAGTGTTTGTCCCGGGGCCCCGAGCTCGCCTCTCCGTGACTGGCACTGACCCACATGGGCTGTGCCAGGGTCCCTCGCTGTGGGGGAAAGCGTGGAGGTGGCGGCGCAGCTGGGCGCGTGTACAGCGTTAGCAGTTAGGGGTCCAGGCGAAGGAGGCAGGGAGCCACTGTTCTGGGGGTTCCTCAGATACAGGACAGCCCTCCCTCCCTGTGTGGGTGCCCTTGGCTGGCGCCTCTGTGTGAGAGCACGGTTCCCACTGCTGCTTCTCTCCTGAGCTCCACTCAGACACGGTGTCGAGAGGCCTCACGTTCTCTCTCTCCCGCGTCGCTGCCGCTTCAGGCCGAATGACTCCTGCTCCCCAGGGTCCAGGCACATCCTGCCAACACCAGCGGTTCTCCAGACAGAGCTGGGGTCTGGATCAGGATCGGGTGCCCTGGATCTACCTGGGGGGCATCCATCCACGCAGCACCGAGGTCTCCCAATGGTGCAGGTAGATTCCGGGCCCCGCGTGCCCTCCTGTCCCCTTCCACAGCTCCAGGACTGGCCCACTGTCCTGTCCCCTTCATCCCCACTGGCCTATGCTGCTGCTTCTTCCCTTGTTTGTCTGGACCTCACCCCTTGGGAGGAGGATGGGAGGGCGGTTCTGTGGGGTGACCCTCACGTCGGCTCAGCTCCGGGGTTTCTTGGGGTCAGACTGGGGAGGTGGGCTTTTGGGAGGAAACCCTTCTCATCCCCTTGTCGGGGGTCTGGAACATCTGTGGGGCTCATCCACCTGGGGAGTGTGTCCACGGTGTCCCACCAGCAGGGACCGTTCCCTCTGCCTCCTAGGCTCCTAGGAAATGAGTCCTGAGGCCCAGCGAGGAGCATTTCTGGTGAGTGTTAGAGCCGCGCAGTGGATAGTGAGCCTCAGGGCTGCAGATACCCCGTCCCTCCATCCTCAGCGTCCGCCCAGGGGCTCTGCCCCCACAGCTGTGCCTGGGCTGATCTCACGGGGAGGGTTTCTCCTCCTTTTATAGCATTCTACTTTCACTGGAACTCTTCTGTTTAATGGGAATTCTCCTCCCTGTGTATATGTGTGTTCACTCATGGGTCTGAGCTCGTGGAGATTTCTTTTATTCTTGGGTTAGAATTTCATTCTACCCACAACACACTGACATTTGTCCTCACCCGGGAGGGTCACGGCCCATCTCCTCTTATTTTGGCAGCCAGGGCCGCGACCTGAAGCTGTGCGTGTGGGACCTGGCGGAGGGCAGGAACGCCGTCGTGGACTCCGTGCTCTTGGAGAGCGTGGGCTTCTGCAGGGGCTCTGTGCTGGCTGGGGGCCTGCAGCGCTGGTTGCTGGCTGTGCCGGGGAGAGGCAGCGATGAGGTGAGTGAGCCCATTCACCCTTGGCCCCTGGCTGCAGGAATACTGTGCCCCGAGGGGCTCCTCAGGCCAGCCTTGGCCTGGTCACCTGAGGTGGCCCTGGCGCTAGGGGTTGGGAAAGGGGCCCAAAGTGGCCCAAGGTCTCTGGGAGGCCCTGGCACCCAGCCAGGAGCAGCACGGGATGGACAAGGTCAGGGCCCGAGGCTGTCAGGGGCCTTGGGAGCAGGCAGGCATGGAGGGAAGCCCCAGGCAGACCCCATGAGGTCGAGGTAGGCCTCAGAGTCAGGACAGCAGGGGAGGGCGGCCTTTTGGGGTCAGAACTGGGCACTGGCGTGAGAGGTCTTGGGCAGGGCTGAGACACAGGGTGTAAGGGCTGGCAGCAGGGTGGCAATCGCAGTCACAGATGAGCGGGGCCCGTCAGAGGACAGGGCTCCTGGGGGCAGTGGGTGGGATGGAGCCCCAAGGTCACTGTCAGGTGGATTTCAGGCTGAGTGTCCAGCAGTGATCTGTGGCAGGGACTGGTCAGTCTGGACAGTGGTGTTCACACCCCAGGGACAGAAGAGGCAGAATCCCCAGGGGAAGCAGAGCCCAGGACGGGGTGCCGGCGGGGAGCGCCGAGGGCAGGGGGATTGGGGTGCTGGAGGCAGTGGGGGAAGGAGCCCCAAGTGCAGCGGGATGGCCTGGTGGGTGGGGGCCTGGGGGCGCCGAGAGTGGGCGTGGGCCTGGGGTACATGTGCAGGGGGAGGGAGGCCCCTGCCTACCTCCCACGCCCCGTCCTTCCCGTGTCCCCTGCTGCCCTGAGGGCCTATGCGGCGGGCGGGGCTGGGCAGGGACGCAAGCCTTGCACCCGGGAAGTTTGGCCCCCACCCAAGAGGAGTCGTGAGTCTTAAAGCAGATTCAGCTCATAAATAATGAGGCAGGAACAGGCATCTATTTGTTCATGATGGCGTTTAAGTCACCAATTAGGAGCTACATGCGATTTTCTTGCCAGTTTGCCAAAAACCTGTTAAAAGTTTTATTAACGTGAAAAGAGAGGGCTCTGCTTTCTCCTGGTGGCAGCAGCCGGGTGGCGCCGAGCCTCCTCAGTGGTGGGGGCCGGACCACACTTCCGCTGAGGTTGCCTTCCGCTTCCCCCGCCAGCCTGGCCCAAGACTGCTCGTCCCCTCTGCTTCTCTCCAGCTCCCCAGCTTCTGGTACACCACCACCCCCCTGCCCGGGAGCCACAGGTCTGGGAACCTTGCATATCCTGGGAAAAGGGCTGTTTTCCATGTTCCCACCTGGAATCAGCACCACTGGCCTGTGCCCAGACAGAGCCAGGCCCGCCCGTCTGGGTGGCCACACTTGCCCGAACCAAACATTTTTCCTTCTGGAAACAAAACTTGCCCTTGAATGCCAGGTGGAGCATCCTGGTGTGAGGAAGGCCCCGGCAGAGTGCAGAGCCCCTCCTGGGACCACAAGGACCAAGGGGCACTTGTTCTGGATGCCAGCACTGTGCCCCCTCTCATGGCGCCTAGCCCAGGCCTGGGCTGCCCTGGTGTCGCCCTCACTCTGGGCCACTCACCTCTGCCCGATCCCCCCGCCCTCGCGTCTCTCCTCACTGCCACCAGAGGGGTCTTCCTGAGCCCCCAGATCAGGGGTGGGGGCATCCCTCTCTGACCCTGGACCCCACTCCCCCATCGCCCAGCAACTTGTCCTCCTGACGTAGTGACGTTTTAGGAAACTGGCATCGGAGCAGAAATAGGAAGGCAGGCATCCAGCCCCCAGCACCACGTTCCTTGACCTTCTAGGTCCCCCGCCTTGGCCGGGACAGGCTTGGGTGCCTGAGGCCCAGCCAGTCCCCACCCCTGCCTCCCTCCCGCTGACTTCGGGGGACAGAAGGGCTCCGAGGCCCCCTCCTCTTTGGTTTGCTCGGTCACTTCTGGGCCACACTCCATGCCACCGCATCCTCCTGTACCTCCTTCATTTTGCTGGAGCTTCCCCTGAGCTTCGTGGGTGCTACAGGAACTCCTTTTAGCAGCCTCTAATTCATGGCGGGATGACGCTCACGTCACTTAGGTCCTTTTCCGTCTCTTTGGGGCAGTGAGAACGAGGTGTCTGGGGTAGGTGCTGGCCCTGCAGGCAATGTGATACCGGCAGAGGGGGCTGTGTGTGCATGTGTGTGGGCATGTGTGTACACGCATGTGCACGTGCGTTAGTGAGAGCAGCAGCAGGGCTACACCCGTTCCACACTGTGTATTTACACCTTGAGTTCACCCTGGGGTTTCCTCCTGGGGGTTCTGTGCCCCAGGTGTCAGAAGTGGACCAGCAGGTGTAGGTTCTGTCCCCTCGATGCCCCATCACGTCTGGACCTCAGACTCCTCATCTGCAAACCTGGGGCTGCCCCGTGTCGACGAGGGGTGCCTTGCAGCTCTGCGGTGCACACACTGTTGTTGGTGGAGTGTCCCCAGGAGGGTGGCTGGAGCCACCAGGTGGGGACATGTCACCCAGCCAGGCGCAGGAGGGGCTGTGTCAGCGTCAGGCGACACTGAGCACAGGCCGCACACGGTGGAGGAGCAGGCGCTGGGGCCCCAGGTGTGCAGGTCTGGGTGCCATGCGACAGTCCTGGAGGGCTCAGGGTCATCCACGTGTGGGGCCCGACAGGGAAGGAGTGCCAGGAGGAGGGCGGGAGGCCGAGTGAGCTGAGTCAGCGCCGTGAGCCAGGCCGCCTGCTTGGCCAAGAGGTCAACGCAGAGGAGGCCTGAGGTAGCTGCGGGGCAGTGACACCGCTTGAGGGACCTGCCAGTCACTCATGAGTGACGCGTGCATTCCACACAGCCCGGCAGTCCCCGAGCCCAGGAGCCCGTGGGTCAATGCGGGAGGCACGGCCTGGGTCCCCGAAGGCGCAGACAGGCCCACAGTGGCCGGGCTGAGGCCTCAAGAGTCTCCTGTTTGTGCAGCACAGACTTGACTTGGCTCTGGCCCAACTCAGCTTGTTTTCTTACTGTCAGGTTCAGATTCTGGAGATGCCGTCCAAGACGTCAGTGTGCTCCCTGAAGCCCGAGGCACAGGCCAGGCTGGGCATGCCCATGTGCCTGCAGCTCTGGCAGGTAAGGCCCAGCACCCGCCAGCCACGCCCACCGACCACACCTGCCGGCCACGCCCGCCAGGTGTGAATCATGCCCATTAGGGACTTGGTTCCTCATCACCTACGGGCACTGGCCCCTGGGAGGCGTGTGCACAGCGTCCTCCTCAGCCTTGGTGTCCCCAGCCCTCCAGCCCTCCTGCTGCGAGGACGCCTACAGACCCTTTGGGGATGCCGGGCTCGTCCTCGTCTTCGCAGGGCGGTGTGGGAGACAGCAACCCCCTCCTGGGGGAGCCACATGCTCCCCTCTGGTCTGCTCACCGGCGCGGCCTGGCGTGGGGCCGGGAGGGGGTGCTGACTAACCCTGCAAGCCTGCACGGCCCCTGCGTCGCCAGGATTAATTTTTGTTACTTCTTTGCCTTGTTGAGGCTGGAGTGGGCTTAATGTGCTGGCTTTCCCTGCGGCCACACTTGGAATTTCTGATCCACGCCATTTCCTTCTTTCTTGGCTGTTCTCTCTGATTAGAGAGGGTCTGGAGGCATCTCCTGAGGCTGCGGCAGAAGCCGGGGGGCAGCGGAGTCACAGGCCTGAGTCCCTGCAGGATGGGTTCTGGCTCTGGGGCTGAGCGCGAGGCCTGGGAGGGACCCTCCTGACCAGAGGGGCAGCTTCCCACCCCCAGCGGTCAGCACCAGCTCAAAATGGGCGTCTGCTCCTGGGGGCAGCAGAGCAGATGGTCCCGTGCATTCATGTGGAAAGAGTCTCGGCAGCGTCTTTACAGCTGCAGAAGCCATGGGGAGCAGGTCACTGACCGGGGCTGTCCCGGACCGCTGCCTGCGGCCTGTTTTTCAGCTCCGAGCAGCTCACCTGTGCCTCCTCAGAGCTGCCCCGGGCTGCCTGGGACCAGGGGGAGGCCGTTCCTGCCCCTGCTGTGACTCTCCTTACGAACCCGGCCAGGCTCGCATGGTTTGGAGGTGTCTGTGTGCCCGCAGGGTCCCTGGGCCCAGCTCTTGTCCCTCCAGGGCCCTGCCCTGTCTTGCAGTTGGTGTCCCTGCCGTCTCTGAACTGAGAGAAGCCCATGGGGGAGGGGCGTGAGGAAGTGGGGACTCTGAGACTCACCTGGATGGCAAAGCTGCTGGTGCCAGCAGGCAGGGTGGGGGGGCGCCTGGAGGGGCAGCGGAGGCTGTGGAGGTGGCCTGGTGCTCACAGGCCCCGGGCGGGACGGGGCTGCATCCGCTCACCCTCCCTCCCTGGAGATGCTGTCATTGCCTAATCGTGTAAGAATTCCATCAGAAAAATGTGCAGATATGGGATGTACAAACTTGTCAAGGTAATTGACGTGGTTGACAGAAGGACAAATCGAGTTGTGTTAGTTGATACAGATCCAGCGCAAAGCATCCTGTTAAGAAAAGACTATGCTGATTTGAAATGTCCCTTTATTCCTCGCCAAGCCTGGAGGTCCAGGTTATAGCTTATTGATCTGAGTGTGGCAGAGTGGCCCAATGTGGGATTCCTTTCTGAAACATTCAGAGATTTCTTGTTTTGCTCCTGAGAGTGGATGGCCTGTGTTGTTAGGATGATTGTCATGTAGGAGGTCAGAGGTTGTCCACACCAACCCTCAGAGCAGGTCCTCCAGTGTCCCCCCCACGCCCCCAGCTAAGGGCTCCCCAGGGAACCTCGAGGTGCTGGGGGCCGCCTCGGGCTGGCACACCTGGGGTGGGGACGGGAACGCAGAGCGAGCAGAAGTCAGCCTGGCACCAAGGGCGTGGTCGCCAGAGGACTGAGGCCCCAGAGCCCTGACCCGCCTGCAGGGTCTGTCCTGGGGGGCCGCAGGGACCCTGTGTGCTAGGAGAGAAGGTGGAGGGGCCTCAGTGCAGGGACAGAGCCTGGCACGGGGCCCTGTGGCTGGTCTGGCTCCTGCCCTGGCCGCCCTGTGTGCCTGCACAGGGGGCTCAGTGGTGTGCAGCCCCCACTCCAGCCTAGGCACTCAGAGCTCCCAGACCATAGGCAGTGGGGGAGCCCTGGATGCAGGAGGAACATGCAGGGTGGGGACTGGGGAGCAGGCTGGGCCAGGCAGTGCGGTGGGAAGCTGGTGGGAGGACACAGCAGTGCCCCAAGGGGGATGGACCCAAGGGGGCCCCGGCAAGTTCCTCACAGCTGCTTTCTTGGACTCCTCCTTCCTGCTTGTTTTTGGGAGCACATGTTATCATCAGAAAAAAGGGCTTGTGGGAGGTGTCCTCCAGATCCCAGAGCTGGTCTGTACGGGGCTCCCCTGGCTCCCCTCACTCTGCGGGGCCCTGAGACATACCCCTCACACCAAGCACGGCGAGCTCTGCTTCCTGGGGTTCAGGACGTAGCTAGCGTCCACTCATGTTAGACACTCATGGTGTGCAACACCTAGGCATGGAGCCCCTCTGGGTGGGCAGCGAGCTCCAGCAGGTGGGCCAGGAGGGCCCGCCTGGGTACTGTCGGCCACGCCTAGGCACGCGGCTCAGCACCAGCCTTGCCTGCCAGCAGCGGGTCCCCATTGGAGGCAGCCTTGCTGGCGGCCCCCAGGCCCTGTGCTCACCACTGGCCATCCAGGGTTTGAGGGCCGCCGGCTGAGCTCCTGGCCTCGGGAAATCCTCCGCTGGCAGAGGGCGCTTGGTCGTTTCTGAGCCCTGGGAGCTCAGTGGAGAGCAAAGGTGCCGGGTCCTGGCGGCAGTCCCGGGACTGGGCACCAAGCACGGGGCGGCCGCTCTCAGTCGGTGCCAGGCCGACCCAGGGTCCCCATGCTCCCCTGCAGGCGGCTGCACAGCCCTCTGACCCACGCCCTCATCCATCACGCGGCTCGGCCGGCAAGGCGCTGACTCTGCAGCCTTGACGGTTGGGGGGCTTCCGCAGCGACGTTGACAAAGTACAGAAGGTTCATTTTTCATTGAGACGGAGCTCGAGATTTTCTTTGGCCGGCAGTTCTAGACAGGTGGCCGGCCCCGCCCAGGGGTGGCCGCACGTCTTGGCCGGTGGGAAGGAGTGGGAGGACCAGCCAGTGTCCCAGACCCCGACGGCAGGCACACCACCCAGCCCGCACTGGCCCCAGTCTGGGTGTCGGCCCCCTGGGGGTGTGCAGACCCCCCAGGGCTCAGTGGGGAAGGCGGCCTATCTCAAGCTCCTTCTCCTCCAGAAGGCCCGGGCCCCCCGAGCATCCCCCAGCTGACAGCGAGCTGTCCCCACAGGCTGACTCCAGTCCCGGCCCTCTCCTCCTGGCTGGCTACGAGGACGGCTCAGTGGCCCTGTGGGACGTCTCCTCACGGAAAGTGTGCAGCCGCGTCTCCTGCCACACGGAGCCCGTCATGGGTCTGGACTTCGACTCCCAGGAGGCCAGGGGCGTCTCAGGCTCTGCGGAGAAGGCGCTGGCCGTCTGGAGCCTGGATGAGCAGCAGGCCCTGCAGGTCAGTGGGCCAGGCCCGAGGTGTCATTTATCCTGCTCTGCACCAACAGTCTGATGGGCTGGAACAATATTTAGGCATGAAGAGGACTTGTGGCAGGTCCGCAGTTAATTAATCATCGGACCCGGCGCGGGCGGGCCTGGCGGGCGGCAGTAGAGGGGCTGGCGCTCGTGAGCCATTCACAGGGTTTGGGTTTCCCTCAGACCTTGGCTAATAGCGGTCACGTCTCGTCCATCTAGAGGAAAGGCATGTAGAATCCAGGACTGTGCAAGCCCGTTTGCAAAACTCAGAGGAATTTGGTCAGTAAGGAACTGATCAATCAAAAAGAAAAAAAGAAAAAGAAAAAACCCCAAACCCTACATGGAGAAATCCCTTAGTGAGGCCCCTGTGGCTGTCTGCAAGCTGCCCGGGGGCAGTGGGAGGGCCGTAACGGCTCAGTGGCTTCCCATCCCACGTGGCTGGGGGCCCTTCGGGGCCACATCTGGGTGCCCAGTGCTCAGCCCTGTTGGGAGGGGGTGATGGAGTTGGCCGGGAGGGGAGCCTCCTGGCCAGGCCTCAGATGGGTGAGGTCCTGGGGAGTGAGGTGCTGGGTGTGCCCTGTGCCTGTCAGCCCCCTGAGGGTGACCTGAGTGCACACTGGCTTCTGGGCGGGGGCGCCCCCATTAGCCAGGAAGCCTCAGAAGGCTGAGACCTGAGCACGGCCGGCTCTGCGAGCCCAGGTCTGGTGGGGGAGTGGGGCCCCAGTGGGGAGCTGTGTATCCCACCTCCTGGAGCTCTGGAGGACAGGGCCTGTGGCTATGCCCTCTACAGGGGCTGCGTGGTCCAGGCTTCCCTGCAGACAGGAGACCGCAGGAAGAGGGCATCTCTTGGGCCCTCCCCAGATGGGAGGCCTTGCCCAGCAGCCCGGGGCCCCCACAGCCAGGGAAGAGGCTCTGTGCACTTGGGTGGGTGGGCGAGGGCAGGCATGGGTGAAAATCGGGAGACACTGCCATGCCCAGCGGACATTGCCATGCCCTGGGTGCAGGATAGCAAGGGGCAGGGCTATCAGGGGTGGGTGAGGGGTCCTGGGCAGGAGCTAGGGGCCAAGGGCGGACTCAGCAGGGAGATCTTCTATGCGGCAGCTGGAGGGACCGCTCTAGCTTCCTAAAAAGCACAGTCCATGGGAGGACCAAGCTAGAACCAGAGCGAGTGGCCATGGCTGCAGGGTCTGGGAAGGGTCCTGAGGGGCGAGCAGCCCTGTGGAGTCCCGGGGAGGGGGGAGGGAGAGGGAGGGAGGGGTCATGTGACACATGAGGACAAGGCAGGTGTTCCAACTTCCTTGGCATCACCTCCTGCCCCCCACGCCCCCCCCCCCCCCACTGCAGACCAGCCTGTGCCACGCTCGCCTGACTTGCAGTAAAGCAGCTTCCCGTTCGTCTTCCTGTCCGGTGTCCCAGGGAGTCCACAGAGGCCCTGCAGGATGGGGTCAAACAGGCCTCCCTACGGGGCTGGGGCCGGCTGTGGGGGTGGAGCTTCTCCAGCCTCCATTCCAGAGGAAGCATCTCCAAGGCCTTGAAGTCCTGGATGTGGGTGGTGGGAGTGGAAGTCACCATGGTGCTCATCTTTAGAAATGGGGCGGAGCCACGTGGTGCTGGGTCTTAATGTTCTGAGCCGTCAAGGACACAGAGCCTGGCCAGGTGGGCATCGGGGTTCCCCCCACACCCTCCTCTGCTCCTGCCTGGTGGGAACCAGGCAGCGACCCCCACCCCCATGAGGTCCAGTGCTCTGTCCTGCTGTGGCTTCAACTTCAGCCCAACTTTGCAAATGCCTAGAGACCCAGGTGGCTCTCCTGAGGGCCCCACTGACTGCGGTGCCCCCAGGCCCTGCCCCCAGGACCTGGGAAGAGGCCCCTCCTGCCGTCCTGGCCCAGGTCGGCCTGGTCTCCCCTGGCCTGTTGGAAAAACAGCTGCAGGAACTTCAGACTTAAATTTATGGGGCATGTTCCAGCTCAGAGCTGGAGGTTCACTGTGCATATGAATTGGAAAGTCAGAGCATAGGGAGGCCAGGCCAGCCGGGAGGTTGGTGGAGGCCGTGCCGCGGCCAGGGCCTCTCTTAGCGTGCATCCTAGGAGGCGCCGCTCCTCCCTCCGACTGCCCACTGTGGCCTCGCTGGAGACATCCATGTCCCCAGAGGCCCAGACACCTTCAGGTCCTGGAACGCAGGCCTCAAGGAGGAGGTGTCAGGGCCTCGAGGGCCTCAGTGTCGCGGTGTCCGCAGGCACCTCTCCCTGGGCCCTCGGTGCCGCAACTGGCCCTGAGGCGCTGGCCGTGGAGCCACGTGGGCAAAGATGTGCCTTACCTCGCGGCAGCAGCTCTAATGAGCCCAAATCAATCTCCCCGGGCGGGTGGGCGGGCGGGCGCTGCAGAGGCGCAGATGGGGCTCCTGCGTGGAGTGAGGGTAATGGGAACCAGATGGGGCCGTGCTGCGCGCGCATTCCTGGCACCTGAGGTCATGTGCTGCGAGAGCCACTGGTGGCCGGGATCCTTCCTGGAGGGTCCTGGTCCGAGACGGGCTTGGCCAGAGGCCGCGGCAGTAACTGGAGCCTTCGGCCACCCTCTCTAGGACGTTGGACGCTCACCCACCTGTAGGGGCTGCTCGCTCTGCTCCCCTCGAGCCCGGGGTCTGGGCCTTGGCTGTCGTCAGACACAGGTGGTGTACAGACCTGCCCTCCCTCCCACACTTGGGGCAGGGTCCACGGCCTTGAAGCAGGGGCTGATTTACGGCCAGCGGTATTTCTAGGCCCTGAAGTAATAACTAGGCCCCCACCCCAGCCAACCCAGGCTGGAGTCAGACCACCACTCCCCCCCATCACGCCCACGGCTGGTCGGCCAGGCGTCCCCTCCTCCCTGCTGCGTGGCCGTTGCCCGCCTGCTCCCCAGCCCTGCCGGGGGCTTCCCTCTAAAGTGTGTCAGCAGCTGGTGACACTTGGGCTGGTGCAAGGGAGACCATGGGGCCCCGAGCTGAGGAGCTATGGGCACACCACCATCCCCACCCCCACACACACATATCTCGGGACACCATGGGCGGGGCTCCGGCCGCCTTGACCATACATGGGTGCTGTGGGCCCCGATAGGACTGGTCTCTTCCAGTCCAGGTCCCCACTGAAAGGGCCTTGTGCCTTGATTCTGAGCTTCCAGGAGGGGCTGCGAGGGTGGGGGTGCATCACTCCTGTCCCCTTTCCCCTGGGCCGTCCTGGGCATCTCAGCCCCTCCCAGGTGGCAACACTGGCATGGATGCGCTCCGCTCCGCACCCGACTCGCAGCCAGCCGCACAAAGACCACTGCTCAGGCTGCTCTGCAACTTCCCGGCCACCACCTGGGCTCCCAGCTCCACCAGCAGACAGCAGATTTGGGGAGCCCTTTACTCCCTGGGAAACATCCCTGTTGTTAACAAATCCACCTTGAAGCAGGGCCCCGAGTGGGTTCCGGCGCACCCACTGCTCCGAGCCCAGGGCGGAGTTCCTGGGAGAGGAAGAGTCGGGGGCTGTGAGTCACCTTGTCCTTGCCCATGAGTTGGGGCTCAGGCTGACGCACCCCTGCTGCGGGCACACGTGTGGGCTTTGCCTTCTCATGCGGGCATGGCTGCACCAGCTTCCAAGGGAGGGGGCGGTGGGGGTGAGGGCCGTGCTGGGCACCCACCCAGTGAGTGGGTTACGGCTGCTTGTGTGCAGCACAGACAGGAGGCACTGAGCCTGGATTCCTCTGGACAAGAGCACTGGAGTGGCAGAGAGCGCGGGACATGCGGGGATGCTGCTGGTCGCCATGGACGGAGAAGGGGTTCGGGACATCACGGGCCTGGGCACTGGACAGAGGCCGCAGGAAGGCAGGGCAGGCGTGCGTGTAGGGGCTGGATGGGTCGCCGCAGGGGCACTGCCCATGTGCTGGCTGCACTGACCTTTTTCAGTTGTTTGTGATTGCATCCCTGTTTTATCTGCAGGACTGTCCTGTCCATTCCTGATCAGGCTTACGTTTGTTTTCTTTAAACATCTTTTCCCCATTTCCCGTCTACCTTTCTCTTCCTCCCCTGAGTCCTCCAGGCTCGATGTGCAGCTCTGACCGGGATTCATCACACTCACTTCCGGGCGCCCGATTTTTCTTTGTTCTCTGACTGCGGAGCTGATCAGAGTGTTTTTATGTTTCCAAATGTTTGATTCTTTCCCCAGTTATTTTTTATTTCTAGGCTTCTAACTTGATCCATTTGTGGTTGGAGAACTAGTTCTGAGTGATAGCAGCTCCCTGAAATGCCAGTAGGTTCCCGTGGCGCCCGTGCTTGGAAAGAGGTATTTCTGCTGCCCACCACCCAGCTGCGCCTGCCCCTCAGGCAGCCGTGTGGTTCATGTGGGCCACGTGGGTCGAAAGCCATGCCTGCCCCGGCCTCTGGGGGGTACTTTTGCTGGGTCCATCTTGGTGACTTTCCTGGGTCCTGTGTGTTCTTAGTCTGCATTTTGAATCTTCCTGGGGGGTTGAACTCTTGTTATCTCTGGGAAGGATTTTTGCCTGAAAGCCCATTTCAGCAGCGCTTCACATGGCTCAGGCCAGGTGTCTTCTGGCTGCTACTTCCTTCTGTAGCTTTTTTCCATCTTTCACCTTCAGCCTCCCTTCACACACAGGCGTCCCCCTCGTGGGCCAGCCGCGCACACGACCTCATTGCACGGGTTCTGTTTTGTCCCGTGCGCACTGCCTGGCCGTCTTGTCGGGCCCTCTAGTGGGGCTCTGCTTTTTCATGTTTTGTGACAACCTCTGCCTTTTCTCTGGAGCACTTGGTTGGCTTCCTTCGTGTGCTTTGAAGACACGTGGTCTCCGGTGACCCCCGTCTGCTGGGGACTCGTGGCGTCTGGTCCTCACTCCTGGTCACCTCGTGGGGCTTCTCCTCGGCCGCTCCCAAGACGTTCTTTTTATCTGTGGTTTTCAGGGGTCTGGCCTCCCTGAGAGACATTGTCCCATGGCCCTCGAGGCTCTGGTCAGTTTTCTCTCTTCTTCAGGTCAGATAATGTCCATTGATAATGTCCCCTAGTTTACAGACTTTTAAAAAATAATAATTTCCGGCTTCCGTGGTGGCACAGTGGTTGAGAGTCCGCCTGCCGATGCAGGGGACACGGGTTCATGCCCCGGTCCAGGAGGATACCACGTGCCACGGAGTGGCTGGGCCCGTGAGCCATGGCTGCTGAGCCTGCGCGTCCGGAGCCTGTGCTCCACAACGGGAGAGGCCACAACAGTGAGAGGCCCGCGTACCGCAAAAAAAAATAATAATAATAATAATTTCCAATCTGCTGTTAAGCCTGTCCTACACATTTTTCACGTCAGTTATTAGCTTTTCAGTTCTACATTTTCTATTACTGTGCCTTTTTTAAAAAAACAAAAGACTCTATTTTTAGAGCAGTTTTAGGTTCACAGCAAAATTGAGAGGAAGGTACAGAGATTTCCCATATACCCCCAGCCCCCCCACTATCGACATCCCCCCGCAACAAGTGGGACATTTGTTACAATCGATGGAACTACACTGACACCTCATCATCACCCAGAGCCCTTGGTTCACATCAGGGGTCACTTCTGGTGATGTACATCCTATGGGTTTGGACGAATGTATAATGATATGTGTCCAGATGTGCAGTGGTGTCTGTTTGTTGTCATTTGCATTTCTCTAATGACATACGATGTGGAGCATCTTTTCACATGCTTAGTTGCCATCTGTGTATCTTCTGTGCTGAGGTGTCTGTTCAGGCTTTTTGTCCATTTTTAAATTGGGTTGCTCATTTTCTTAAGAGTTCTTGTGTATTTTGGGTAACAGCCCTTTATCAGATGCGTCTTTGCAGATACTTTCTCTTAGTCTTTGGCTTGTCTTCTCATTCTTTCAACAGTGTCTTTACAGAGCAGAAGTTTCTAATTTTAGTGAAGTCAGGTTATCAGTTGTTTCCTTTATGGATTATGCTCTGGTGTATCTAAATGCAAGGTCACCTAGGTTTTCTCCTGTCGTCATCTAGGAGTTTTACAGTTTTGCAATTTACATTTAGGTCTTTGGTCTATTTTGAGTTGATTTTTGTGAAGGTGGCAGGTCTGTGTCTGGATTCGTTTCTTCTCATGTGGACGTCCAGTTGTTCCAGCACCGTTTGTTGAAAAGGCTACTTTGCTCCTGTGTCAAAGGTCACGTGTTTATGGGGGTCCATTTCTGGGCTCTTTTTTCTGTTCCACTGATCCGTTTGTCTCTTCTTCCACCAACATCCATGGTCTTGATTCCTGTAGCTTCACAGCAAGTTGTGAAGTTGGTCCTCCCGCTTTGCTCTTCACCTTCACAGAGTGTTGTTCTGAGTTGGTTCTGAATTTCCATTTCTCTGCTAATAGATCCTACCTGTTCACTCATCAAGACAATTTTTTGGTAATTATTTGCATTTTCTTTCATTTTTTGGAACTTATTTAAATATTGCTTTAAAGTCTTTGTCTGATATGTTCCACACCTGTGCCGTTCTGGGCTGGTTTCCATTAACTGCTTTTTTTCCTACTCCTTTGGGTGTCTAGTAATTTTTGTCTGTGCCAGACATTGTACTGATGGAGATGGAGACTGGATTCTCTTACTTTGCAGAGCAATCACTCTCAGCCCTGCGGCTGTTCACCTGCACCATGGGCTTGGCTTCCACTCCGTCAGGCAGTATGTGGGGCCCAGAGTCATCCCAGGCTCCTGTAATGCATGGGACTCACCTTCCAAACTGTACCTCCCCTTCGCACTTGTGGGGCTTGGTTTCCAGCTTCATCATGGTTGGCCAGAGTAGGCCCAACCAGGGCATGATGCCTACCCTGCAGCGCGGCCACGCGGGGTCTCATCTGGTCTTGTGTGGACACACAGATGTCACCCTCGGCTGCTGGGTCCAAGGTCACTGTTGATCTCTTGTATTCGTTCCCTTTAACCCTGCAGCAGCCACTGGCCGGCTAACCTTGTGTGGTGCCCTGAGTGGGCACAGCCCAGCCCTCACAAGGACTCGTGGGACCCACATGGCCTGCAGTCCCTCCCCCAGCCCCCTCTATGCTGCTGCCTCACCCCACGGGTTCCAGCGGCCCCACCCTCTGATCACCTCCTTGGCTTCACGTGGCCGCTGTGCTCTGCCTGGACTTTGCGGCCAGACATTCCGCGAGCAGAGAGCTACTGGGCCTCTGGGAGGCTCCCCTGTCAGCTGCCCTTCCCACCGGTGTTGGTGCCTGGACGCAGTCACGCAGTGTCTTTTGTCCAGTTGGTGGTTGTTGGCAGCACGCGGAGTGGTCTGGCACCAGCTGCCCATCACAACCACCTCCTGTAGTCCCAGCTTCATGAAGGGTGTCTGTTTGTCTGCTGAGCAGACATTCGCGGCTTCTTGTTGTGAACTGTACACACTCTGTTGTTGTCAAGTGTGGGCAGTCTGTCCGAGTGCTCCCTGGTCCCCAGGGTGGGCCCTGACTCTCTCGTCTGCTGGCTCCCGGGGTTTCTTGGCCAGTCATTCTTTTGGTGTCTCTCACGTTCACAGCACACATTTGGCTTTAACTTTGGAATCCAGTCAAAAGTCTGTTGAGTATATTTTTATTCCTTTTCAGAGAAATACAGGGCAAATGTTAGGAAACGATTACACCTGGGTGGGGAGAGGAAGTGAGGTGGTTCTGTCAGCACCTCAGTGGGTGTCAGATAATCTCCGTAGAATGAGGCTGACTGTTGTATCTTCGACCCAGATGACAAAGATGAGCAGATCAGTGAACTTCACACCCGTCTCTTTTGCTGCCGTCCTGTATTTCTGTTAGTTACACAACCGGTTCTGTAGCCTTGATCCCTGTATTGTCTCAGGCCTAATCCTGCAGGGGACTACGTTCCCTACTCTCTGCCAGGCCACTTGCTGCCGTTCCCCTGTTTTCTCCTGAGAGACTGGACTTAATCTCCTAGTTCTCCAGGAAGAGCTGATGGGACGCATCCCCTGGGTTCTTACATGTTCACAAATGCTCGTCTGTTGTTCTCATACCTGAGCGACAGTTTGGCTGGATATAAAATTCTCAGGCCTCCCCTCCCAGCTTCGCAGGCGTCACCCCACTGTCTGGCCCAGACCTGGACCAGACGTGGCCATGGGCCATTCTGCCCTCATGGTTGACTTGATCCTTTTGCCTGACAAAAGGACTAATCAGCTTTGCGTCCAATGACGTTATCAAGCGCATCTTCCTGTGACCACCCTGTAGGCTCTCTGTGGATCCTAAGACTTCAGTTTCTAGAAGCAAGAACAGATTTTCTAAACGGCAAAGGTCAGAGCAGCTGCGCGGCCTTCCACATCTGCTCTTTCTCCAGTGGCCATGCCTCTGTCCCCAGGTTGGGTCACACCTGCCTTTGCTGTCTCTTCCGATTCCCCTCGCTTCTGCAGTGTTTGCTTCTCTCGGTGCCTGTGGATCAGGCTCCCTTCTCTGGGTTTGCTCTCCTGGTTCTTGTTTTATGGAGATCATTGCTTCATGCAGTTCTGTTTTGCTGATTTGCAAAAGTGCCTGGTGAGTGTCTGGTTGCTTCCGAGGAATGCTGCCATCTTTCGCTGAGTTTCTTTCCTCCTTTTCCCTGTGTTGTCTTTGAAAAACGAATGACTCTCCCTGAGGCTGCTCTGGCCCAACAGGAGGTGAATTTGCAGAGAAAGGGGAGCTGCTGTGGGCACACCAGCGACCCCGGGGCAGCAAGGACTCCTGGTGCCCAGGGCTGGGCCAAGACAGGATGGGCGGAAGGACATGGCCATTTGGGTCATCACGACGATGGCCAAATCTGTGTTGTCAACGTGGGGCAGAGCTGCCAGATGGCCCCACAATGGCTGCACATCCAGCCCCAGGCAGCCTTCCCCCTTGCATGCCACGCAGGGCTGCCCTTCCCCCGGCTTTGCTGTAGGTGGGGTTTGCGTTCCTTCTGCTCCTTCTGCTTTGGGTGCGGTGAGTTTTCACGAGAGAGGACCCACTGACCTTGCTGCCGTCCAGTGGGCAGTGCTGCTTGGAGGCTGGGGGGCAGTATTTCCTTGGGGAGGGGCCCAGGCCGCAGTCCACTGAGGCCTGTCCTGTCTCAACCCGAGGGTCTGGCCAAGGGCAGAGGTCGCCTGTGCTGGCTCCAGGAGGTGGCAGTAAGATGGCAGGAGCGCTTGGCTCCCTGTTCCTGACAGGGGCGTCCTGGTAGAGGAGGAGGCGTGGAGGCAGGTCTAAGAAGCCACCTAATGATTCTCCCTGCCGCTCTGATCACAGGTGCGTGGGACTCACGTGCTCACCAACCCCGGGATCGCCGACGTCAAGATTCGGCCAGACCGTAAGATTCTGGCCACCGCGGGCTGGGACCATCGCGTCCGTGTGTTTCACTGGCGGACGATGAAGCCGCTGGCCGTGCTGGCCTTCCACAGTGCCACCGTGCACTGTGTGGCCTTCGCTGACGACGGCTTGCTGGCCACAGGGTCTGGGGATCAGCGCATCAGTGTCTGGTCTCTCTACCCGTGCACGTGACTCGTGGCTCCTTGTCAGGACACTTGGATAGCGGGAAGGTGGTGCAAGGGGTCGGAGGCCATGGGCCACGGGCCCCACTGGTCATGGGAAGAGCCGGTCACTTGGGCCTCCTTCCTGCATGGGACCTGCTCCCTTTCATGAAGCACAGCGTCTGTGCCACAGCGAATGCCATTTAAAGCATAACCAGGCCAGACACTGGGCACCAGCGACCCAGGCAAGAGGCCGACCTGGGGGTGCCTGATAATAAACTTGTTTGCAAACCTGCAAGCTTGAGGTACGAATTCTCCCAGGTGACCCCCTGCTTCCCCGGGTGATCAGAGCCCAGAGCTGTCTGTCCTCAGAGCCTCCACTGGGCAGGGTGGCTGGTCCGTCCAGCAGGGACGCCAAGTGTGGGCCCCGGGTCCTGGGCTCCTCACACCGCAGACGGCCAGGAGCTCCTGCATCACAGGGTTGAACCGGTGACAGGCTCCTGACGGGAGTGCGGCAGGGAGAGGGCCCCCGATGGGGGTGGCGGGGAGGGCACAGGGCTAGGCCTCCAGCAGGACCAGCAGGAGAAAAGAAGGGCCACCTCGTGGAGTGAGGCTGAGAGTGGCAGGTGGCTGTCCCAGTGTGGCTTCTAGGCATAAAGCCCAGCAGCCCAACGAGACAGACGGGGACCAAGGGCACTGTTGCAGCCGCTCACACAGGGCAGCCGCCGGCGACTCCCACGTGGGGCCGAGCCCAGACCTCAGAACAGCTTCTCTCAAGGCTGGGCTATGGATTGGGAAGGAATGGGACCCTGAAAATTGGGATGGGGGCTGTGGGCAGAGCCCGACCAAGCTGGGGGCCACAAACCCCTTCGTTCCATCAGCTTCTTTGCCGGGAGAGCCCCCTTCGCACCCTACCTGAGGTCAGCCCCCGTTTGGCTGCAGGACCTGAATGGCCTCCCCCGAGGCAGGGGCCCTAAGGGGCACTCAGGAACCCCCTACTCCACACTTTGCTTATAACCAGACTGGGTCCCAGCAGGCCCGAGAGGGTGGGGTCTGCGGTGGCTGCGCTCCAGAAGGGCTGCGTGGCTTTCCCAGGCATCTGGAGAACACGTGTGCATCCAGGTGGCGGGATGCCGAACCCACTGGAACAGGGCCCTGCTGGAGAGTCTGGCCTCCAGGTTCAGCTCGGGGGCTGAAGGGCTCTGAGGTTTGGCTGATTGGTTGAAGCAGGGACCACGAGGGACACAAGTGGGGTTGAAATGCCAGCACTGTGTGGGGTGCTGAGAGGGGGGCACCAAGGGTGTTGGGGGAGCTTCATGTGAGACTAGCTCACCCTCCTCGGGCTCCAGAAGATGTGACTCCCGGCAGCTGTGAGGACCACCTGCATCCTTGGAGAGCTCTGTGGTCCCTCTTCCCCGAAGGTCAGAAGCGGCAGTGGGGACGGGTCCTGGGGCTGCGGGGCCTCATGGTGGACAAGGGTCCAGGACTGCGGGTGTGGGCAGATGACCCCGGGCCCCGGCAAGAGGAGCCAGTGGGCAGCCGCTGAAGCCTGGCCTGGTCCCCGTGGGCAGAGCAAAGCGTTCTGGATCCAGCGAGCAGACGTCTGACCCGGGCCACCTGGACCAGCAGGTATCTGCCCCGCAACCAGGCCCAGGTGCCCACCATACTGCCTACAACTTGTGCTGCTGATCCAGCCGGGGCCCCCCAGACCCACACCCCTGACTGGGGGGCTGTGCACCATCCCAGCTCAGGGATGGGCCTCCCCGTGGGCCCGTTGGACAGAGGTGCTGCCGGGTTTCCTCCAGCACATCTGCGGGGGTGGGGGGGCTGCGGCCCCTGGGATGTTGGGGGGTGGTGCGCATCCAGAGGGGTTTCCACATCACGAATGCCAGCAAGATGGGCGGCTCTGTTTAGGCTGCGGAGACCTGAACCCCGCGTGTGGGGCGTCCTCCGGGCGCTGTGGTCTGCTCAGGACCCCACTCTCTGCCTTCTCCACGGGAGGCAGTAGGGCACTGGGTGCCCCTTTCGGGAGGTGGACCTCTGCTTCTTCGGCCTGGCCGGGCTCCTGCATCTCACATGTGTCCCCACCCCGAGCAAAGCCAACGTTCAGGCCAGCGTCCCCTCCCATGGGTCTGTCCTGGAGACTGGACTAGAGGCCAGTGCTAAATAGCAAAGGCCTCTGTCTCAGGACCCACTTGGCCTCCTCACTAGAGCATAGCTGCAAACACACCAGTCATTCTGTGGGTCCCGCCGCAGCTGTGACCCTGAGGTGCTGGGCGCTGGGCTGGGGCAGCCTCTAAAACCAGGCTGCAGCTGAGGGCGTGGTGCCCATGCCCGCTTACATCCGCGCCATCAGCTCAGCGATCCTTTGGCAGAATCACTGAATTCACGAAAACAGCTGTGGCAGCGTGTCCTCCCGGCAGAGGACAGGGCACCACAAAAAACCAGAGGTGCCTCCCAAACGTTGGGGGTGAGCTGTGTGTGCTGTCTGCCGTGACTCAGCCCTGGAGGGGGAGAGGGCTCGGGAGACAAAGTGTCCATCCGTACCTGGCCCTCACCTCCGTTGAAGGCACAGGCAGAGGCTCCCAGAAGATCACGGCTGCTGGCCCTGAGCTGGGCTCTGGGCTGCCCACCAAGGCCACATGCTGTGAGCAGTGTCCCAAGGACATCTTGTGGCCAAATCTCCATGCATGGGGCTGAGTGGGGTTGTGACAGCCCTGCCAGACACTCAGGACCAGAGGAAGTGGGTCTGGGGACGCAGGCATTTCTCCTGAGCTCGCCACTGCCTGGCCCTCTTCCAGCTGCCTGGCCCTCTTCCAGCCGCCTGGCACTCTATGGGTGGGTCCCATGGTCATCCCAGCATCGTGCTGCCCTGGCCCCTCTTGGACAAGCAAGAGGTCAGCGGCGGGCCGGGCAAGTGACCAGGGGACGCAGCACGGTTGGGAATTCTCACCTTTTCCTGGGCTCCATGAGCTTCAAGAGGTCTGAGAAGTCAGACCGCCACGTGCTTTGTAAACACGGCCCCGGGGGCTGGACGTTGCCACCGAGGGGTTCCCTGAGGAGGGCTGTCCTGCAGGCTGCTCTCTGCTGCACGCCATGAGCGTCTGCACCCCCAGCAAGCAAGGCTGTTAGGTGTTTCCCACCCATGTCTCTGCAGGAGCAGCTCCGGGAGCAGTGTGCAGAGAGGAGACGACCCGAGGTTCTTTGGAGGCTCGGTGCTCAACCAGCTGGCACCTTGCGGGGAGCCTGGTCTGGGGTTAAGCTGAGCAGGCTGTGCACCTGGGCTGGGGCGGGTGTGCAGCCCCCTCCCCGCCCTCCCTGGTCTCCTGTGTATTGGGGCTGCTTGGCCCTGCCCAGATGTGGCCACCCTCACAACAGCTTGTCTGGAGGCCCCTCGGGATCTGGGCAGGTGGGAAGCGCGTGACTGGACGGAGCTGAGTGAGGTGAGAAGGGCAAGGCGGCTGCTGTGTGGTGGGGCTGTGCCCACCAGGTAGAGGCCACCAGTCCCAAAAGGATCCACTCAGGGAAGCATCTGAGTGGGAGGCACAGCCACAGATGAGGAAGCAGGACAGACTCACGGTGGCTGAACTGGAAAATGAGTAGGCGCTCCTGGCCTTTCCCTCATCCCACCAGGAGGGCTCAGGAGCCACCTGCGTGCACGGCCAGCACCTGCCCTGGGAGCTCAGACTCGGAGCTGACAGGCAGGTTCATTCTCTGTGTCGTAGCCCGGCGCCCTGTGCACAGCGCCCGGACCTCGGGCCCCAGGGCCAGTGTTCAGTGCCTGCCCTTCACAGAGACATGTGTGGCTCCTGCCTTAAAGCAGAGCTGCTTCCATGGCACTGGGCAGACGGGGGTGGGGGTGGGGTGAATCTCGCAGCTGCCACAGGCCAGGATGTGTTCACAGGGGCCAGGAGCAGTTCTGAGGGTCCAGGGGCCGCCATGGGCATCATGGTGACAGTCACTGGTTCTGTTCAAATAGGCCAAGAATCCTCACCAACACTCTAATAACAAAGTGTGTCAGAAACGTACTGTCACAGCAGGTAGCCGCACGCGCCTGAAGACTGTTTTGCCCCAAACATCTGCATCTCCACAGTCCATAGGCTGGAATCCTAACCCCCAACATGATGGCAGTTGGAGGCAGGGCCTTTGGGGGGTGACTAGGTCATGAGGGTGGATCCCCAAGAATGGGATTAGTGCCAGAACCAGTATGTGGGCCCTTGCCTGACCCCGAATCCGCCTTGGTCTTAGACCTCCAGCCTCCAGAACTGAGCAGAGTCTCTGGTTGATAAGCTGCCCAACCCGTGGTATTTTGTTATAGCAGCAGGAAGAGGACAGGATGACAGGATGCCTGTATGTTTGTTGTTTGTCAAGACGTGCATGTTGAGAAGTTGAGTCCCTGGTCTGGTCCCGTTGCTGGGATGTTAATAATCAGCCCAGACTCAGGGGCATGCCCGTGAGTCGTCAGTCAGGAAGGCTGAGGGCCCACCGGGCTGTTTGTCTCTCTCCACGGGACAAGGCGGCACGGGGGCACCGCCCATCAGGTGCCCTCGGGTGGGCTCTCGGCGTGGCGGCCTCAGGGGAGTCATTCTTCGTGGGGGCACCGAGGGCTTGGCCAGCGAGCCAGGCGGGCACCAAGAGCCGCCTTTGCCTAGCCCTGGTGTGTGGGAGACACAGACCCCACCTCCTGATGGAGGGCCTTAGAGTGTTTGTAGCCTTTACAAGGTGAGACCCCAGAACTGAGGACGCGCCTTGGAGGGAGAGAAATGGGTGAGAACCAGCTTCCGCGAGTCTCTCCTGAGACGTTAGAAGTAGACGTGAGGCTGTCGTTTTGTTAAATGTTTAGAAGAGTTTTTAATGAATTTGCAACCAGTGATTAAGTGTTGGGGAAATTTTGTTTTATTTTATTCATAAATTTTGATTTATGAACTGAGTTAGAATGTGACTATATAGGGAATTACCATTACACAACATACAATTTATCAATCTTGAGAATTTATTGAACAATTGACCTTCTTTTTTTTTTTTTTTTTGGAAATTTCAAGCGGAGACCAAAATGGAGGGAAAAACCACAGCCCCGTGTAGCCAGCGCCCAGCTTCAGCATGAAGCAGCGGCCTCCAGGTATTAGGTGAGCTCTGGCTCCCGGGGCCTGCAGCCACTTGCCCAAAAAATGGGATAGCCCATTAGGTGGGCCTGGATGGACCCTTTCTGGATACACATCTCTCCTTGTGGGCAGGACGAACCAAGGCCACGGCCGCGCCCGCTGCAGCCTTGCCTTCCTGGCCGTGACCCCCAGCCCTCAATGGCTCTCTTACTGCCCTGGAGAAGTAAAGAGGGAGAAGGCGCTGTTTTGTGATTAGCAATAAATAACAGACCCGAGAGCTACGTCAACACACGGACGAGCTCAGACACGGGGCGTGGAGGGGGGAGGGGCAGCACCAGGGTGGGGTCCGGTCAGGAAGGGGTGAGCAGGCCCGGCTCCATCTTCACGGCGAGAGGACCTGCTTCACGACAGCTGCAGTCCACCCGGTGCGGCCGCCCCGCCCTTCGTAGTCGCCCCGTGGCCCTGCCGCCCTGTCTGTCCTGGGGTCTGCAGCTCTGCCTCTTCCGGGTGTGGAGACAGGTCCCACCATGTCCCACCTTGTCCCATCTCCCCAGGCTGTCCAGGCTGCCTTCCCCCCTCGTCTGCATCAGGTCCTGAGGACGGAGGGATGAATGTCTCACCCACCCCCTGCCGGGCTTACCTGGCCGTGTCCTGGTTTTGTGGACGTTGGGGTGCATCCCCATCCATCCGTCCCTCGTGGGTGGATGTGCTGCCGTGAGGCTTCACCCACCAGCCTGGTCATGCACTGTCCTGAGCAGGGCCGGCTGGACACGCCCCCAAGGGGTCTTGCTTCTACTCAGCCTGTCCTGAGCCCCCTGCCCTCCCCAGAGCACAGCTGCCCAGCCGATCCTGGTGGGCATCCCTGTCCCTCCCTGGGGGACATGTGGTCCTTTAGAGCAGAAACTGTCTCAGCGAACAGTGTGGGGCGGGCACGAGACGTACCTGGAAGTGTCGCTCTGGCCCCTGCCTCTCCCCACCCTGGGCCTGGCCCCTGGAGGGTCAGAACCCCACAAACAGAGGGAGAGACGCTGGGCAGGCCAGGAGGGGCCGGTAGAGGGGCCAGCAAGAGCCTAGCTCCTGGGGTTGAATGTCGGGGGTCGGTGGTCGGCACAGGCTCTGACTGTGAAGCCTCAGTGACTTTCCTGGTGGTTTCAGAGGAGCAACAGGGGTCAGTGAAAAAGATCCCACCATCGCCTGCCCTGCAGGTCCGTTCTGCTCCAGAGCCAATGGGACTGGCCGGGCTCTGGTGCTGGCAGGGGCTCTCTCCCGGGTCCTGACCCCACACCCAGGCTGGAGCCCAGGGCTGGATGGCCTGCCTCATGGCAAGTCTGGGTCCCTGGGCA